CCCTTTCTCTCTTTCTCACAATACAAGAACTCCTTGTGGGCACTCCATGAAATTGCTGAGCGGTCGGGTTAGAACGGATAAAAGGAAGTACTTCTTCACCCAAAGACTGATGAACACATGGAATTCACTGCCACAGGAGGTGGTAGCGGCTACAGGCATGGACAGCTTCAAAAGGGAATTAGATAAGCATATGGAGCAGAGGTCCATCAGTGGCCATTAGCCACAAGGTATAGATAGGGGCTCTGGGGCAAGTGATGCTCTGTCTTCTTGGTGTTTGGGGGGTCAACAGTGGGAGGGCTTCTAATGTCTTGGCCCCAGTGGTGGACCTCTTGATGGCACCTGGTATTTTTGACCACTGTGTGACACAGAGTGTTGGACTGGATGGGCCTTTGGCCTGATCCAACATTGGCGTCTCTTATGTTCTTATGAGTAAAAAAAATATGCCATCAGGTACTGGGTGTGGAGAAGAGTAGGCTTTGGTTTTGTGGGACAGGCTTCCTAATTCACCCCATTCTTTCCTCAGCTTCCCACCTTAGAGCAGAGTCTGAATAGCATACTGCTCCCAAATGGCCACTCTTGCTAGGCAGGGCCGGTGTGGTTTAGTGGTTCAGAGTGTTAAACTCGTATCTAGAAGACCCGGGTTCGAATCCCCACTCTCGGCAAGGAAGCTTGCTGGGTGACCTTGGGCCAATCACATTCTTTCAGCCTAACCTGCCTCACAGGGTTGTTGTGAGGATAAAATGGAGGAGAGCGATGTACGCCACTTTGGGTCCCCCCACTGGGGAGAAGGGCGGAGTACAAACTGATCGAATAAATAAATAAAATTGTGACCGGTGTTCCCTCTAAGCTGAGTTAGTGTGAGCTAGCTCACAGTTTTCTAGCCTCCAGCTCACACATTTTTGTCTCAGCTCAGGAAGGAGGGCTCCAGAGCAAACTAATGGATGCAGTAGCCAAATCGCCGGCTCACAACTTTAATGCCAGGAGCTCACAAGCAGAATTTTTGCTCACGAGACTCCACAGCTTAGGGAACATTGATTGTGAGGACGGACTTCAGAGTTTGGGTCGTCTGTGAATGGCTGTCACTTTAACAGCACTTCTGAAAGAGTCGTGGAGTTGTAAAGCGCCTGGGAGTCTAGACAGCAGGGAAAGGAGCTTTTTAAATGTCTAATCCCCAGTTACCCTTCCTCCTTGAGAACAGCAAGCTGGGATTGTACCTCCTCTCAGACACAGGGGAGCAAAGGGCCACAGTTACACACAGCCCCATCTTCACCCTGCCAATTGCATTACACAGCATTACACATTGCTCTGTGCTATTTCCGGGCCTCTGTGACCTCACATGTGGCAACATCAAACCACAGGAAGGGAGGGCGGTTGTTGCCTTTATGTCCTGCAAGCTACCCAGTCATGCAGAAGAGGAGGAAAGAAGGCAGGAAAGAGAAAGGGACTGGGGTAGAGATAGATTTCCCTGCTGATCCCGGAGTCCAATAGGAGAGCGCAGCACGGATGAAGGAGGTCCCGGTAGCTGCGTGTAACCCATACAGTTTTGTAGGTGTTAACAGCCATGCAGGGATCAGGCACGAATCGGTGGTGTGGCAATTAACTCCCTTTCCCCCCCTTCTATACTTTGTTAATGAGCATGCTCAGTACTTGTAGCCTTCCCTAAAGGAGACTGGGTATTCTCAGCAGCCAGCAAAGGCGACATCTTGGGGAGAGAGAGGCCTCCATAGACTTTGCTGTGTTAAGGCCTGCCTTGGATGATTGCAGGTCAATCCTGGAGTCAACTGGGAAGAGCTGCAGCCTCCCAAGTACAGCCTGGAAACCTCATACGCTGTTCCAGTATCTGTGAGCTTACAAGGTATGGACCGACAACATATGCATATTATCTATGTGCTTAGTATTTTTTTCTGTTCTGTGCATCCTTGTGGATGCGGAAGAGATCTGTGTAACCAGTAATGTCCTGAAGAGTTCATGGCTATGAAGTCATAGCAACCAACCAGGAGTGAAGGAGGCTTTATAGGAAAACCTCCATGCTTTTTTTATATAAAGAGTTTATTTTAAACGCTGGTCTTGCCTCTCTGATGTCTGCGTTGAAGTACAGGTGTAGTTGCAGCAGGGACACAGTCTCTGAATAACCAGAGGTGGGAGTGCCGCTGTCAAAACCAGCCTGCCCCCTCTCCCTGCAGATAGGAGGACCTCGGTGGGTCACACCCTGACGTTTCCTTTGGCCTCTGTCCACAACTGACGGCCGGTCACACCACTTGGGGACTTTTCCCTGGCTCAGACCAGCATCTTTTGAAATTGTCTCTATTTGCTGTAGATCGCTGACACAGCAGCCCGCCCGCCCGCCTCCCGAGTCGCCCCATTGAGCTGCATTGTAGGGCAGCCGCCTCTCCTTCCCC